ATGTCCATCAGGGTGTAATACTCCTTCAGGGGCTCGTCTTCGTAGAGGACTTCCACCTGGAGCAGGGAAAAGTGTCACCTTTCCCTGGCAAAGCACCACCAGCCCCCCCCCACCCCTGCCAAGAGCTCACGGGACATGGGGGGGCTTTGCTGTCCCCGAGTGCCTCTCCCACAGCCTCTGGGGGGGGGTTGGGGGCTCCCAGCACGGCCAAAATTCCCAAGTTAGATGGAAGGTGCCACAAGGGGATGGGGACACATGGTGGGGACACCACGAAGTCGAGACGAGATGTTGGAGAAAGAGCAAAGCCTGGTGTATTTGTTGGGGGGAGGATGCAATACGGGGTGGCCAAAATGTCCTTGAGTTAGCCCATCCCAACCCCCCCGAGCATGGCAAAAACACCCACCTTGTACTTGCTGGGAACATCCATCTTGTTGCGGAGGAACTTGGCCAAGTGCATGACGGTCATGGCGGCAGGACAGCGCAGGAACCTCACCCCGTTCTTCTGGGGACACGGGGGGAGAGGTGTCGCTGAGACCCCACCGTGCCATCAATGGGCACTGCCCACCTCCTCCAGCAGACCTTTTGGGGTCCCCCCCTGTCCCCCTCCACCCCCACCCCAAAGGCCCTGGAGGCGGCCGGAGACAGAGCTCTCCATGCCGTGGTCCCACCACACTCACCTTCTCCTTCTCCAGGTCCCCGTTCTCAACGGTCCCTTTCTTCTCCTCCCTGGGGGGAACAAAGCAAATGCAGGACAAAGTTTGGGGAGGAATAAAAAGGGGGAGAGAGGAAAAATAACCCACCAGAAGGGACGTCCATGGAGGGGCTACGAGGGGGAATGTGTGGTGACCTCCAGCCAAGCTCTGCTTTCACCCTGACTGCAACCTCTGCCTGGGCTGCCACCTCCCCCAGCTCCTTCTGAACCACTGCTCTGGATGCTGGTGACATCCTGGGAGGCCACCACCAGCACCAGGGACACGACAACCCTTGGGGTCTGCCACCTGGGAAGGAGCCAGCCCGGGGAGCAGCCATGTGAGAACCCTACAGAAGATGCAGGACAAAGGACCAGGTTTTGGGTGCTCCTCTGTCCGTTCAAGCACCCTAGAAGATGCTGAGCTCCAAGAAGGGGCTGTGGCAGCCACTGCCACCACCTCGCACCTCTGGAGTGGGAAAAGAAGGTGGGAGTTTATCCCCAGCCCCCAAACCCAGGTAGGGGCTTAGAACAGCAGGTGGAGGGAGGTCATCCTGCCCCTCTGCTCTGCCCTGGGGAAGCCCCATCTGGAGCACTGGGACCAGTTCTGGGCTCCCCAGTTCCAGAAGGACAGGGAACTGCTGGAGAGGGGACAGCAGAGGGCTATGAAGATGATGAGGGGCCTGGAGCATCTCTCTGATGAGGAAAGGCTGAGGGACTTGGGGCTTTTTAGTCTGGAGAAGAGAAGACTGAGGGGGGATCTGATCAACACCTATAAATACTTCAAGGGTGGGTGTCAGGAGGATGGGGCCAGGCTTTTTTCAGTGGTGCCCAGGGACAGGACAAGAGGAAATGGGCACAAATGTGAATGTTAGAAGTTCAACTTAAACATGAGGAGGAACTTCTTTCCTGTGAGGGTGGCAGAGCCCTGGCAGAGGCTGCCCAGGGAGGTGGTGGAGTCTCCTTCTCTGGAGACATTCAAACTCCCCCTGGACACGTTCCTGTGGGACCTGCTCTGGGTGGACCTGCTCTGGCAGGGGGTTGGATGGGATGATCTCCAGAGGTCCCTTCCCACCCCATGTCACTCTGTGAGTCTGTAACAGCCAGAAAACGGTACCTCGACCCTTCGTAAAACTCTATGGAGAGGCTGACGATCTCGTCGTCCGTCAGGTTCCCCTTGTCCTGCTCAGAGACCTCCCCACGGTCTTCATTGGACCCGTTGGGAACTGCAGGAGCAGAGGGAGGGAGAAGCTGAGCCGGGGAGGGGGGGGGACACACAGCTGGGGTGAGGGGGGGTCCACGGTGCCCACACTCACCCTCTGCCATGGGGTAGGCTGCGTAGAAGTCGCGCCGCCTTTTCATCTCATCTGCAGGAGAAGGGAGGAGGAAGGTGAAGGGAGGAGGAAGGTGGAGGAGGAAGGTGAAGGGGGGGGGGGAATCACCCCAAGGGGGCTGG